GTGTGTCCAGCAGATTTGTATGGATAGGAACTACCTAATGTGTAAAGCAAATTTTTTTGGATAGGAAGAACCTTATGTGCTAAGTAGATTTACATGGATAGGAACTATCTAATGTGCCAAGTAGGTTTGTATGGATAGGAACTCCTAATGTGCTAAGTAGGTTTATGGATAGGAACCACCTAATGTTTCAGACAGGATTGTATGGATAGTAACTATCTATGGACAGTTTTTGGATAACGTTCGGCCTCCTTACTAAAAGTTAATCTTCGTATAATAGGTATAACAAGTTTTGTTGAATTCATTTTGTACGAGTTTTAATGATTTAAAACATGATGTCTTCAATAAAGTTTTTAGAAATACAGCATTATTTGAATGTGCAAAAAAAATTAATATAAGCGAAATTATATGTTATTACTACAGCAATGCTTCATCATGGAGACCTGTAAGCTGTACAAAATCTATACACTGGTAACTGTTCTCACTATATCAACTTGATGGAAATTGGGTTTTTGTCTAGATTTTGCTTTTGTGTATGTTACTGATAATAAAATTGAAGACTGGCAAGTAAACGAGACTTTTATTATTTTAATATCATATCAACATATTGGGATTTAGAAATGATCATTGCAACTTAAGTAAATTAAAGAAATCCAGTTTTACAGTAGTTTCTTCTGTTACAGCTTCCTGTGGGTATGAAAGTGTAACTCCTCCCATGCCGGCTTGTTCTGGAATGTTTTCAACAGGTAGTCAGTTTGATCAATGGACAATTCCTGGGCCTTTACACTTCAATGAGACCAACTTCTGTCAACCTGCGTCCACATATCCTTCGTTTTTACAAAGTGGAGTTTCAAACTCTGTCACTGTTCCATCTTCTGCGGCGTCGACATCTCCACCTGGAGGCATGATGGTAAATGTTCCTCTAACTCCAACAAACGACAGTCGTAATTTTGCTAATCCTAATGAATATCATTCCTTTCTTAGTTTTGGCATGATGAACACAGTTCAACCTCATAATCAACAGAGTTCATTTATTCCGCAACTTCAACCCTTCCAAATTCAACAATCCTCTCCCTTATCAGACTCCAATACTGGGGCGCCCTCCTACGGAACAACAGAAAATGATGTTTTATCCGAGAACTTCGAACCTTCTCCTCGGCCAGAGAACCACTGGAATTCTATGACTCCACCAAAGTGTATCTAAAAGAATTCCTTCTTCCACTAACTTGTTGGTAACCACCCGTGATTTCTGAAAATTCTGAGTGAGTCGTGTAACGGTAACAAATGTATTTGCATACACGTGTGTGCTTATACAAAAATATATACACACAAACATACTATATAACATACATGTATTTATGTATACAACATGTTTCGAATAACATGTTATTCTTTCCAAAAATATAGTTTTATGAATTTTATAGATCGTTTTCTAGTTATTATTCATTTGTAGGATTTAGCATATCATATTTGTATAAATACTCTAAAAAATAATCCAAACTAAAACGAATTTTTTTTAATACACCGTGAGTTAATTCTAAAGTTTGAATGTTGTTCTTGGTATATACATTTCGAAAATTGTTAATTCTCTACAATTTAAATGTATTATTCAAGTTTATAGGCTACAGTTGAGGTAAGGCATAGCACTGTAAATGATATGTGTAGTTGTAAGACAGTTTGCAAACAGTTACGCTCTGGTAAACAGTTTAGACATAGCTTCGCATTAGAAAAAGTTTTACTATTACTTTGGATAAAATGCAACTTCGATAGAATTCATTTGGTATGAGCTTTTACGATTTTTTTAAATTATGTTTTGGAAGACGCTTTTGTAAATACGGCGTTATCTGAATATGGAGAAAATGTATATAAACGAAATAAAATGTTACCAGCAATATTACATGTAACAAAAAAAAATAAACAAAACGACACTAATAAAGCATTCTATTTTCAATCAATGTTTGACACTAGTTGTTAATATTATTACGTTTTTCTAAGAGCAATGAATAATATATAATAAAAAATAAAACCTCTTTCTGGTTCGTCACATGGTATCAACACTATTACTTTCTTGAGGTCTCTGCAATACTAAGTTACTACTTCCAAAAAGCGTGCTACTGTATACTCCCTGCTGTCGATAGTGATGATATTTTACTACTTTTGCATGTGTATTTGATGTTTGTAATTTCATATACAATTCTTTTATTATTTTTTATTTCGTGCTCATTTTTCAATTACTGTAAGTTTGAGTGTTAATAAAATAACTAGTGAATATTCTATAAATAGTCGGATAGATGGCCCGGCATGGTCAGGTGGTTAGTGCACTCGATTCTCAATCTGAGGGTCGCGAGTTAGAATCCCCGTCCCATCAAACATGCTCCCCCCTTTCAGCCGTGGGGGCGTTATAATATACGGTCAATCCCACTATTCGTTGGTAAAGGAGTAGCCCAAGAGTTGGCGGTGGGTGGTGATGACTAGTTGCCTTCCCTCTAGTCTTACACTGCTAAATTAGGGACGGCTAGCGCAGATAGCCCTCGTGTAGCTTTGCGCGAAATTCCAAAACAAACAAACAAACAAAACAAACAACCAAACTCGGATAGATAAGTTAGAAGTTGTTTCTCTTTTAAAAGTTAAAGGCAGAAATTGACTGAAAGTTTTAGAATCTGACTTATATAGAAACTGTAAATTATATTATTAATTTTCTGGGGGCATACCCCCAGATCCCCTCTGGCAGCACGGGAGCTGCTTTAGCAGCTTCTTATACGTTCAATATCATTCTAAAATCTGCATGCCTAGCCAAGCATCCCCACTTTGCAGCTTCTTCCCACATAACTGGATACTGTTTGTTTGTTTTTAATTGAAGTTAAGCACAAAGCTACACAATGGGCTATCTGTGCTCTGCCCACCACGGGTATCGAAACCCGGTTTCTAGCATTGTAAGTCCGCAGACATACAGCTGTACTACTGGGGAGCGACTGAATACTACTTTATATGAAGTTAACTCATTGAAAATTAATTTTTTAACACTTATAGTTTCTTCATATTTCTGTTCATTAAAAAAAAAAAAGAGTCCAAAGTTAGTGTATAGAAAATAATTAAGCTTTAACCTCTGTTATTTTTATCTAAGCACAGAACTCCACAAATAAACTTTCTGCTCTGTGCCCAATTCAAGGATTGAACCCCATATTCTTGGGTTGTAAATTTTCATAGCTCACCGCTGAGCTGTCTTAAAATGTGAGCATTCTTAGGTGTATATAATAATATTTGAAATAATAACTGAATAGGAATTTAACCCTGAACGGTCTCAAGAAACTATAGCTTTTAATTTGTTTTAAAACGTATATACGTGATTTTCTTTTTCGTTCAGTTTGAGATCAAGATGCTATTTGCATTAAAAGAGACACAAAAATGTCAAGTTATTGAAACTCCGTTGTTTAGCTTGTATGATTGATCACGACTCTTCGGGAGTCAATACGCCAAAGTTGATCGTACAATAATAAAAATGACACCGAAATAAGTTATTGAAAATTTCAAATAAATCTTTATGCTAACTTAACAGAGCATGTTATCGTTCCTGTGTTTATTTTTATAATAACGAACTCCTGGTTATGAAAGACTACCCATAATAGAAAACGAAATTCAACTGCTGTTTATCCGTTTTTTTTTTTTTTCATTAAGTGTTTGTCCCCTAGTGGCTCAACGGTACGTTTTCGGACTTACAACGTTAAAATCTGATTTCCGGTGGCGGACATTGCGCTAAAACAGCCAATGAAGTAAAACAAATAGTGTTGTGTAATACTTCTCATGGCGGTAAAATTTTGAACAAGACTAGTTTCATTTACGCAGCAAGAGAAATGCATAATAGTTAAAAAAGAAGAAAAAAAAAAAAAGAACGCTCTTAATACCTCTTCAATTCTTCCTAAAACCAGTATATGCCAAGTACAAATAGAAAAACCTTCTGTTATCCCAAATGAATTTATAATACAAATAAAATAAACTTACACTCAGTTCACGACATCTAGTGGTGTGTTTGTAATACTTCGATTGTTAAATTAAAGTCTGTATAACTGCTACTAAATGCCAAATTTTAGTTATATTTTCGATTTCTTCGAGTGTTTTATATATGTTTTTTATATGGATGTTTTATGTCACAAAATTTTCAGAAACTCATCACAGAAGAAAGAAGGTCTAGAAAGCGCTCAGATTGTTAGGTCTTTTGCGAGTTATCTAATCTTTAATCCTTCATGATTTCTTAGTTTTTATGAAAAAAAAATATTCTAAACTTCTTTTAATACTTTTACTTTACAGTGACTCCTTTGTACACAAGCCCACCCAGTGGCACAACGATAAAACAGCTGAAAATATAAGTATTTGTATTTCAGAAGTTATACGTCAGTGGAAAACATACTAATTGAAAGAGCTAATTTATAAAATCACTAGTTGGAATAAGCACTTTCAGAACTTCGTGCCCCCTCCCAGTGGCACAGCGGTATGTCTGCGGACTTACAACGCTAGGAACGCTACGATACCCGTAGTGGGCAGAGCACAGATAGCCCACTGTGTAGCTTTGTGCTTAACTACAAACAACAACAGAACTTCGTACTGGCAGTTCGTATTTTAAAATATATTTAAATATTGCTTCATCTCCTGTGATCAGTAGACACATTTTTAACCACTTTATATGGGCTCATAAGTACAAATTTAGTACTATGCTGGTCATTAGGCACTTACTTACCTAGTTATAGTTGTTGTTGTTTTGAAGATAAAAACTTCTGATTTCATGGTTATAATACATTTACTTACCTTTCCTAGTACGCGATTCTTGTTTCGAGTTTAGAAAATATCGGAGACTCTCAGGAAAAGTATAATTTAGAACTGAAAGATTAGAAGGAAGGCAGTTAGTCAACACCACCCACTTGCTTTTGGGCTACATTTTACTAACGGAAAGTGGGATTGGTCGTAACTGATAACGCCCTTCCATGGGGAAGGACGAGCATGTTCGGTGACATCACGGTATTATTTTCTTACTACGACTTATTATAACTATAAAAAATGTTTTAGTTTGTATTCATTAGATGGCGCTATATAAAATCTAATCATACAGTGACAGTCCTCGTAGGAATATAGATGAGTTGAACTTAGAACAATGTGTCTGAGTTTCTTTAACCAACAGATACTTAGGAAGAAATGTATTTTTTTTGTCTTTTATGCTTTTATCAATCGCACTTTTACAATATTTGTAACTTATTTTCTTGGTTGCTACATAGTTAATATATGTTTTTAGTTAATTAATTGATGGCACAAAAGTCGCAACTTTAACAGAGTATTTCTGCTAAAAATTATTAGGTGAGACAAGATATACTTATTATGATTCATGGCTTGCAACCTGTTGTTGCAAAAATTCAGGGTTGTGGGCGCATTAAAAGAGCGATAGTCAAAGTCCACGATCCGGTCGCACAAGAGATAGCAATGAGTGCTGTTTGTTTTTGAATTTCGCGCAAAGCTACACGAGGGCTATTTGCGCTAGCCGTCCCTAATTTAGCAGTGTAAGACTAGAGGGAAGGCAGCTAGTCATCACCACCCACCGCCAACTCTTGGGCTACTCTTTTACCAACGAATAGTGGGATTGAACGTCACATTATAAGGCCCCCACGGCTGAAAGGGCGAGCATGTTTGGTGTGACGGGTATTCGAACCCGCAGATTGCGAGTCGAGTGCCCTAACCACCTGGCCATGCCGGGCATAATGAGTGCTGTAAACTAGCTGCTTTCCCTCTTATCTAAAAATTTACAATTAGGGACGATTATGCACGTAAAGCTTTTGTTTAACTCTTTGTCCATAAGTCAATTTGTTTTTCTGCCCATGTGTTATAGGTCGAATGAAACATTTCACAAAATTGTGTCGAGGTGTTAATAAGTAAGAATTTTAGTTGGATTGAAAATGTTTTCCTGGCGTTATAATAAAATCAGATTCTAAGAAATTACATTGTGACAGAGAATGAGACGTGTTTATGGGTTAGAGATATTCTACTAAATTTGAAATATAAACAAATGTGTTGATTTATAAATAGTAAAATTTTACTCCAGGTGAATGTTCAATTTTGGTTTCAATTTTCGTAGGAACAAGACGATTGCTAATATCAATTTTATGAAATGACCAAACCTAGAGTTTGTCAAGAAGATCCAGTTAATTCTTTTCAAAGAAAAAACAAACACGTTTCTTCATTGTTTCTTCTAAAACCATCCTGTAAAATCCCAGAAGCCACCCTGATAGAGTGCAAAATATTTTATAAGTCCTAGAAAAAGTTATGGTAATTGTATAGGACAAACTAAATCTTGATAAGGTCTTAATAATTTTTGAAAATGTGTTCGATAAGATTTAAAAACAATTCGTATAAGACAGACAAGAGTCCAAGAGGGTAACACAAGTTATACTGGACTGCTTGAAATATTATAGAACATCTTGGGTTTAAAAGGTCAAGTTTAAATAGTTCTTCAGGAGTTCAAGAAATTTTAACTTTCACGAGGAAACATCAAATAAGGTTAGTATTTTAATTCGCTCTATGGTGTCCTGTAACTACTAATGAAAGGTTTTTGTATATGACTGACTATCAGAAACCACTACTAAAAATTCGTACAAGATGATCATTTGTCTTATAGGCTTAGTATTTAAATTCTCTATAACTAGTATAAAATATTTTATGATCGTATTTGTATGTTTTGCATAAGAATACTACAAGCCAGTGTTATAAAATTCCTGTAGGATATTATATGTTAGAGAATAGTGTTACGTAACATCCTTTAGGTCTAACTAATTTATTTTCTCAAGGATTTCTTTAGGACATTCACATGTTACATTATCCTCATATATCCTCCCCACAACAATGTCAAACAGAGGAAACTAGAAAACACTGTTTCTAAGCCCTGTGTTTTACCAAACGTGGTTCATAGCAGAAACTAGGTTGCATTGAAGGTCATAGATTAGTCAGTTCACAAAAATTTTTTATCACTACTGTCAAAGTTTAGAGTAAACATTACTCAGTATTCAGCAGTACTATAACAAAATCGTGGACAAACTATCGACATCTTCATTAATATTAAAGTTAATGACTTTTTACTCATACTGTCAAAATTTAGGTGAAATATTACTCAGTAGTAGAATAATAAAACAATGATTAGAGCCAAAGTTTAAATGAGAAGTTTCTTAATAACAAAACTTTGGCAACAGACAAGTTGTTTGTTGAAGTGAAAATTTCTGAAGAAAGTTCAGATAACCGAGTTTATAATTCCACTGCGTGTAATATGTTTCAATTCAAGCTTCTGTTTCTTTGTTGTTAATTTAAAAGCTACTTAATAAACTATCTGTGCTTTACCCACCACTGGAATCGAAACTTGATTTTTAGCTTTATAAGCTCTCAGTCTTTACTGCTAAAGCTTCTGACTAATTGTTATAGACTACGATGTGCATTCTCTCATAAAATAAAACACTGTCCTCTAATAAACACTTTAGCCACATGCCTCGAACGGTGGATGTTACTAAGAAAAGTACTTAAGTAGGATAACACATGTTAATAGCTAAATAGGCACATGTATCAGTGTTGTGATTTTAATTCTTACAAGATCATTAGTGGGGTATATTATTATTTAGTAATATGAAAGTACGTATAAACTAATTTATGTTATGCACAAAAAAAGGAAAATAATATATACAGTTTTTGAAATTATTATTTGATTGTACTGTTAATTCTAAGAACCTATGAGTGAAAGCAAAGAAGAATATGTTAAATAATATGTCAACCACACTATATCTGCCATATCTAGAGCCGACAAAACCGTTATTTTATAATACCAGGACTCATCAGGCTTAGGCGCTATTTATATCATTAAATAAATGATCGACAATTGTTATGGTGTGAACTAGATTAAATAATTTTATTGTGTAATTATTATCAGTTTTATTCAAGTCATTTACAAATCAGAATTACGGTAAGAATTAATAACACAATATTAGTTATATATTTTAACACAAATTATTTATTAGCATTATTTTTACTTGAATTAACTTCATTATCCTTCTAACCTTTTAAAGCAAAGTTTTCAGTCCTATACACCTGACTCAAGGGTTCTTTCTTGGAAAAAGCAATTTATCAGTCGGTGCCCAAGACGTGAGTTTCCTACCTTAGGACGAATTCTACCACTGCGAAGTCTGACATGGCTTTGTTCGAGTATTCTGGACTGAAAACAAGAATAAGTTATAGAATTTGTCTTTGTATTGTTTTCAAACTAGGTGTGACCTATTGACATCTAAGGTTGTACTTGAAACAGTGCGATTTTTAAAATATGTCTTTCAAAGAAAGAAAAGGAGAGAAAAGAAGAAATTTTATGTTGATAAACTTGAAACGTCTTTGTCCCAGCAAAGAGAGCATTACTGCAAGAATTGAGATAAGGTTATAAACAGTGATGTTGAATAAGCAAAACGAGTCTCAGCCATTAATCCAGCCAAAGAAAAGGCTGCCACTCTGGCTAGATGGAAGAAAAACTATAGCAACGATATCAGCAAAAGCTAGGAAATGTGGAGAGATAGTTCTCACAAAAGCTACGAAAAGGATAGGCCTAAAGCCCAGTCACTCTCGAGACTTAGTACCAAAAAAAGCTATGAAACAAGTGTAAAAAAATTTTAAATAAAAATATTAGGAAGTAGAAATGGAAGCACCAAAAAGTAAGGAAACAAGGTAGAAATGGGCGGAATGATATTACAACACTTGGTGGTTTTTGACACAGTGCAACCTCAAAGTGGGTGTGATCATCTTTCCGCCCATATCTACGTCATTTTCTTTTTGTAATTGTTCAAACTAAATGAAAGGTGTATATAGCTAAATTTCTCTGTTCTAAACTTTGTTTAAGTAACAAGACACAGATACATGTATGTAATCAAATTACTCGATCCTAACGAAATACATAGCATCATAAAGGAGAAGTGAGACAGGAAGCTCCAATAATCATACTTTGCTTATAGGAGTCATTATAGCTAATTGACCTGTAAGAGATGGGCCAAAAGTATAGTATCAAAACCGCTGATTTTTGAAATTTTCAAATTTGTTCAGTATTTAGAAATGATTACCTACTGATAAAACTCAAGTCTATAATTGGATCAAAGTTCAAAGTAAAATACGAAGTACAAATGGGCATAACGATGGCCACACCCACTTTAAGGTTGCAATGCATAAAGAACCACCAAGTATGGTGATGTTATCCCTCCGATTCCTACTTCTTAATTTGTTTATGTTAATTTTTTAAAGACTTGTATATGCGCAGTTTACATAAATTGTGTACTATTAGACATTGTGTGATTGACATATTGTTCATGCTCTAGTTTTTCCGTGGTTGGTTAATCTGCTCCCAACCATACTTTATCTATCATATATAGTGCCGAGGAGGCTTTTTGTCCAATACCAGAGTTCATTAAGCCGGCTGGGATACAACAAAAACTGTAATGGTCCAGGCGTTATTTGTATTGCAAGTTAAACGAGCATCAGCAATTATGGTGTGAACTTAAGTGAAGAGTAGTTATATCAATTTTGTTAAAGCAACCCAGAACCACGTTTAAGAATTAGTGGCAGAACGTTATTTATTTTCAACACCAGTTATGTATTTATTATTATTTGTACTTATGTTAATCTTAATATCATTCAGAAGAACTGGCGAACCAGCAAGCTAGTTCTCGTGTTCTTACATATTACACATTTGTTTTTACTCTTGTAATTAAGCGTACATGTTTCTAAACTACACTTTGTACAACATCAGTTGTGAGTTAGGTAGTAGACTGAGAAAGTGCTGATATAAACATGAATCCACGATTATTACTGATGTGCTATTTGGAGCTTTCCCGTTGTAATAAGTTTAGAAACATATGTTTAATTACATAACTTCGAATGTATTCAAAACCTTTAAAGCTTACTTTGATATTAAATGTACGCCGTTTTATGTATTCAAGTAGATAGCAACATTACCGAAGATAACATACTATCAGAGTAGTGGTTGGAAACTCTTAGAAACCTCAAAGTTATACATCCTTTAAATGAACAATAAATTCAAGTTAGTAAGCTAAATGTAAAAACTGAAATTAAGGTCTACAAGTCGAACATACTATTAGGTCATCAAGAAATTAATGTCGGTTTTATTAGATAAAAAAACCGAACAACTTTTATATCAAAACAAAACATTTATTAAATGAAATAGTCTCCATTCTTATCGTTGATGCTTTTTCATCTTACAACCAGGTTGTTAATGCCCTGATTAAAGAAGTCACTTGGCTTTGAAGCAAAAAAACATGTCGATGTCCTCTTTAACTCCTTCCACATTTGCATACATTTTCCCATTAAGATGGTGTTGCAGGGAACGAAAGAGATGGTAATCTGATGGTGCCATATCTGGAAAATATGGTGGGTGGGAGAGAACTTCCCAACCCAACTCCATAACCTTCTGTTGCGTCAAACGTGCCACATGTGGACGTGTCTTGTCG